GCTGCTTGGTGGTCAAATAAAGGCTGTTCGTTGTCAAATCACTTTGCCTCTCAGTGTGACCCTGCCCCCATCGTCTGGTCTCCACCACACCCCCATCCACCCAGACCCACGGCCCGTAGTGGGGCGCGGGCCGCTGGTTGGCCGGGGCTTTATCTGCTATTATCTGTCAGATGCTGTGCACCTGTGAGCCCGGCCGCCCACTGCATGACGGGTCGTTGTGGTCACCGGTCCAATCCCGGCGGCGCCCTGCTGTCAGCCACAGCCGCGCCGAGAAGCTCTGTCTGACAGCTGCCCCGGAGGAGAGACTCAGGGAGGCTCAGGGAAGGGAAGGAACAGAGGAAAAATACCATTAGGATGAGCCGTATTCCCACTCACCAAAGCCTGCCCACCAGCCATGTGCTGCTGCTCACCTGGCTGCCAGATAAGTGCAGATTAGAGGAAAGGAGACGCTGGGAAAGGTATTAGAGGGGAAAAAGAATTTCTCCCCGGGAAACCCGGGGACAGTCTTGATGCTTTTAGGATTTCTTGTGTCTTGTCTGACATTTGACGCAGCTGCAGAAAGGGCACAGATATTAACTGTCCACGCTACTATTACACATCATTTATTTCCTGTTCTCCGTTGTCCTTTCTCTGACTGCATGAATTACCGTTTAGCCCGTTTTATTTTGTATCTAGTTTGCAAAGAGCAACAGCCTGGTGACACTCTCGGAATCAATACAGGTGTGCAGCTAGGGGGAAAGTGGCCCTAATGAACTGAATTGACTGGTGGTGAAATATGATCAGTACTTTTCTGGTGGTCATTATGATGCTTATGAAAAAGATCAATGTTCCTGGGTTGGATCTCTGAGTCCACGCAGCATGACGGCAGGTCCAGCGCTGAAAGCGTTCTAAATACTTTAATGAAGGATTTTTCTGCTCTGAGGTTTGCTGCTCTGTTTTTGTGCCTCCTGTGTGTGTATGTATGTGTGTGTGTGTGTGTCCTTGTTTCCTTCCATTGTCTCTCCTCAGTCTCAGCTCTGTCTTCAGAGCCTGCAGCATGATGTGCTCGTATGAGGCGCGGCTGTTCATTTCATGGGCTATCACTTTTTAAATTGGTGAATGCCTTCTTCATGGTTGATTAGGAATTCAAGAGGAGCTAATTAAGAGACATAATAAGAGAAAGCCTGGTGAGATGCCTCCAACCAAAACAGAAAAATGGACAGTAAACAGTTGTGAGTGATAGTAATAAAGTCTTGACCTTAAAGGGCGTGTGTGCCTCTCTGGACCTGTCTCTGGGCAGCCACGTTTTCATGCTGCTCGCCGTTACCCCGAACTGGGAGTGTCAATCCAGAAGGTTCCATATTTGATCCTCGGTTGTGCCTGTGTAATGATGGGCTTTGTCTCTCTGCTGATTCTGTGTGAGTGTGAATGCTGCTGCTCAGGCTGCCTGCCTGTCATGCCAACAGTCATCATGCACACACCTGCATGAACATCTGTCCCCCCTGCAGACCGGCACAGGTGCTGCCACTGCACACACTCTTTACACGACGCAGATCTAATGCACACATCCAAACTCTGTGAAAATGCATTTATATAAACAAACAATAAAACTTTAGTGTTTTTTTCCTGTTTCGCATGGACACTTATGGTAGGGGCCAAAAGGTGTTGTTAACTTCGACCATCTGTCCATCTGTGTGTAACTCTTTATGATTCCAGGCGCAGTCCTTAAATGATGACGTGTGTACCCGCAGTCTAATTCCATCATCAGCATCATTACTGCTATTATCCCGTGTCTCCCTTTAATGCAGGCTAATGGATGACCAATAAAGATAGATGAGCTTGGCAGTGTGGAGCTAATAGGCAGGACATGATGTCTGGCTTCTGTCCTGGCTCGACCCTTTAGCCAATCAACTTTCCCCACAGATAAAACATCTGAAATATTATTAAGAGTTGCCCCTCAGTCTTTGATAATGGCTTTATCATCAGCTAATCAGTATGCCAATACTTTATAACCAAATCAGAGCAGGTTTTGTGAGCCAGATTAATTATTGTAACCTGAGCAGTACGGACTTATTAAAGACAAAGCGAGTAACTTCTGTCTCATAACAGTGAGACAGAAGAACACAACAAGAACAGAACACAACACGAAAATACCATTTGAATGTGTAAAGGTTATTATTACATTAAAAAAGCACCCCTTCCTTTAACTACATGCATTTACTTCCAGGTATAGGGGTGTATTTATAGAAAGAAAATCTGCACAAAAAAATGAAGTAAATACAAGAATGGAGCTCAGTGAATATTCCAACAGTTAGATATATTCAAGAATTGAAATATGATAATACTGAATGCTAAACATAGTTTATGTGATGCATATATCAATGCTGTGCTGTGTTCCCCAGCATTTTGAATAAGTATAAATCCCCATCCCCATTGTACAGTGTTGATGGTGCACTGCCTCCTCCTCCTGAGTCACCGGGTGGTGGACCAGAACCTCCATGCAGAAGTCTTTTTCCACGACCTCTTTAAACTCCTACTATGTCTGAGTTTTTACCTCAGCGACTGCCAAAGCTGTGCTTCAGTTTGCTTACCGAAACCTGTCAGCTGCCTCCAGTCCCACAAGCCCAAAAGATCCAATAGGACTCCTTCTTCTGCTTGACACTGTTGGTGTCCCCCTACGAGTTCAGGGATTCCTGCTGCAGCACGTACTGACAATTTACAGCTGCAGACAACAGAACACAGCCCACCCAGACTTCATTTGGGACGTGGTTGAAGCGTATTCAGAGGTGGGAGTTGAAACTCTCTGAGACGGGACTGCATCAGACAGTCCCAGTAGACCTTCACAACACATTTGAGGAGGCCAGAAAAAGATTATCAAATCAAATACTTCATTTTATCATCTATAGTTAAATTGTTTCCCTATGTCTTTGGTTACTCTGAGGTATCCAGTAAGTCATTTTTGTTTGGTTACACTCGGCTAAGTGTAATCTGGTTCTGTAGCAGCTAAATGTTTTTATGTGTCTCTTCTTCCCTCACTGTAGTCCTCTTCTCCATTCTCACAGCCGACATTTTGACACCCCATTGCTGGAGAAACATGCTGTATACTAGTGATAATTGAATTCCACTTGAAAGTTTTATTATGCTTGTTCATTGTAATGGCCTACTGGGACACTGAAGGCAACTTAGACATTGTCTATGTTAATAATTGCATTGATGCTTTCCCTGCAGCTACAAGCGAAAATGTCAGCGTGGAAACAGTTTCATAAAGATCTAATATTGTGAGAAGGTCATGGACATGTAAGTTAAAGGCTGTCTTTCACAGCCCATCAGAGTATAAGGTGTCCTATAAGAGTGGGTTTTTTTAATGCAACAATTTAACAATATATAAAAATAAATATTTAACTAGTAAAGAAGGTAGCACAGTTAATAACGATATTTATTAAAAGATTGAACACCGTTCTTACATATGCAGCAAGTTTATTCAAGCACTGCAGCCATGTTGAAGCTAGTGCAGAGCTGCGGTAAAGTACTAAAAGGATATTAGCCTTAAACTATGTTCATTTTAATATCAGAAGTTATTTTGAATCAAATTGCATCATGCAGTGTCACTCCGTTGACAAAACGCCACGTTGTTTCTAAAAATAAAAAAAAAGGCTGAAAAAGCAACAGCTATTCTTTTCTTGAGTATGACCAGCTTTTAGACACTTAGGGGCAACACTGCATTTGTAAAGTTTTATTTCCATGTAGCTGATGATATATTTGTTTGTTATGCTCACAATCCTATGATGGTCTGGTGACTTATAGGGTATACCCCACTTCTCACCCATTGCCGGCTGGAAAGTTGTCCATCCTTGTTGCTTCGATTAATAGATTAACAGTACTCCTCTGCTTGACTTGTTCAGAAACTGTTAAAATCTCTGGTCCTCCACCTTTGTTCTTGACATAGCATATGGCATCTTTCAAAGTAGTAGCACATAGATGCACAAGATAACAATGGTCTGGCTTTGGAAAACTTTCTAAACAACTTTGAATAAATGTACTGTATGTTAAAATGGAAAACAACAGAACTTTTGCAATGGTACAGTATTTTTCCAATACAGGCAATACATTCATAACATAAATAGTACTCCAAACTGATCTCTCAGTAGCTCACAACTTGAACCCTTCATTTGCACAAAAAAGTCAAAAAACGTGTTTTGAAACACTGGAATTAAATGACTCACATTATTTTATCAGAGTTATTGTAATGGATTGCTTTGTTTGTTTTTTAAACTGCTTGTATACATTTATCAGACTCTAGGATTAGTTATACAGCACAGTGAACAAACATCATGAGGAAGTTGGCATTTGGAACAGGAACAATCATAACTAACTAAATGCCCGAAACCATAAAACAAAATATCAGAGAAGCCAAAAAAAAAAAAGAAAAAAGACCCCATACAGTTCTGCATCAGTTACTTTTCAATTACAGCAGCCGAAGCAGAACAAAATTGTTAGTGTCATTTATCGACTGTGGTGCCCTCTATTAGAGGAACAACTGAAAGAAATCCATCCTTTTGTATAAGGCACCTGGCAACAAAGACTTCATTTTCTGTCAGCTGGCCTTAAGTGTTTTGGTTGTAATGCAAGAAACAGATGTGAGGTATACGCCCAGAAACCTTTGAAAGGACACATTGACTAAATCCAACAGGGAAGCCACTCATCCTGATGGCTTCTGGTTGTTCCCAGTAAGAATTATCTTTTGAGACAAAACAAAATGTAATGCACATTTAATTTGATAGACTGTCAATGAGATTTGTAAATCATAAAACTAAATGATGCTTGGAAATATATATATCTATATCTATGTATATACATAGATATAAATATTACGTTTATAAACGTTTTTTTATTTTTTAGGATAAAAAATATTTATTAAAAACTGATTGGATAATATTTTGTCTGCATCCCAACCGGTCCCCAGACCAAAGTTAGTGTCATGTCTATTACTTCTGCCTTGATGATCTACTGGTGATGTGGACCAGGCATGAGTAGCCGAGCGCAGACACCATCCCCAACCCCTCTATGTGTATATTCTTTTAATACTTTGTGAGGGAAAACTGTCAACCATATATCCAAAGTGCAGGACCAAAGAGAAGTAAATAATGTATGCTTTTGTTAGGTTCTTTGAAGACGATATGTGCTACGCGTTGCCCGTTTCAAATGTCGAAGATTTCAGACCTCTGCACAAAACAGATTTTGATAATCAGAAGGTGTATCTGGTTCACAGAACTGAAGAGAATGGCTGCGCAGGCCAGCCGTGCGAAGCACAGATCCTTGCCCTTGCAGGTAAGTTGCCCTCCTGACACACCCGTTTAAGCGTTTTTAAAGCTAGTTTTATTAGTCCGAGCAAGAAATGTTGCCTAGCGAGCTAGTCAGAAATGTGTCAAAGAAAGTATTTTCGTCGGATGTGTCAGGACGTGATCAGCTGGAGTCTGACACTGATGAGAACTACGTCCGCGGCTGTAGCTAGCTAGCAATGCTATGAAGACGTGCTAATATAAGTTTCGAAGGCTGTCAAAGCTTGTCAACTCTTAAATCATTCAGAGTGTCGAGTCTTACGCGGTGCCTCTGTGCCTCGGTGGAGCGGCGCTCGTCGTTCGGCTAAACATGTAGCACCTAACGCTAGCGAGTCTGGACGGATGTTTACAACCTCAAGCTAGCGCTCATTAGCTCGATGTGTATTTCTGCATTAGCATGCTAGCTCCGAAGCGCTAGCGCGCGGACACAGAACCGCCGCTAAACCACTTAAAAACGCGGCAGCCGGTGTTGTGCAGGCTTATCACGCTAGAGACTGGGAATGTTGGTGAGATGCCACTCCGATAGGTTTGATTTACGGTCAGCTTTTGGACTTCTGTGTGCTTAGAGCCTCAGAATGGCTGCGGTGCTGCAGTTTCCGTGCGGCAACGTTCAAGCATACAACGCTTGACAACCTGTCATCAACACCTTATCGACGTCATGGATGTTTTTTTTTTAGAAAGAATGTTAGTTTAAACAGGAATATATTCGAGTGTATTTTGCTTCATGTCAGCTGCAGCAGTCGTAACGTTAGCACAAGCAGTCTGATCTTTCCTGCATTAATCCCGGGTCTGACTCGTCTGGAGTGCCGGGTAGTGCCCGGTCAGAGCCTCAGAAAAAGACCACACCAGTCCCCATAAAGGCTTCCACCAACCGACACAGCCAAAGTTACTTTAAAGGTGCAGAAGGAGAGGCAAAAACAACTGCTAGATTAAATTATTCTGTTGCTAAACTACTTTTCAGACAGTGCCATGTAACTTCTTGAAAATCGTCTTGCCCTCACAGATACAGTAGAGGAATTTGAAGACAGCATAACACAAAAGAAGATGAAAATTCCCAAGATGTCCATCAAGAATTCAGGAAACTCTGTTGAAAACAACTTTGGAGAGGAGAGAATGCCACTCAGGCATAAAAAGGTAGGCTAACTCAAACCATCCCAGGTTGTTTTGCATTGCATCACATTACCCCAAAACTTTGTATGATATATATATAGTGTGTGTGTATACATTTTTAAAAGAACACAATGACATTATCTCATTGCCCCCTCTTATATTGTTGTTTGATATCACGATGACAGTTATGATGCCTTTAAAGAAGAAAAAGGCAAATAAAATACATGTTGTTTTACTTATCAGTTTTTACTTTATACAAATGCTTCTTTAGTGAAAGTGGGGGGAAAAAACTCAAGTTGTGTGGAGGCAACCGTCATGTGGCTCTAATGTCCATCTTGCTCTTATCCTGTATCAAAATATTTCAATTAATGAGTTAATGTCACATTTTCATAAACTTGGAATGCATCCAAAATCCCCCTATGCTATTTTTACCATATGCTGGATTAACACAAATTCAGCACTCTGGACAGCTGCCCTTTCACCAACAAATCCGCTGAGCGGCTCATCAAAGAACTCAATGACTCTTCACTTCCCGACTCCTATCAATATCCACACGGCCAAAGCAGAACCGCTGCTTCTCTGCTTCTCAGCTCATTTCAAAACTTGTATGCAGTTACCAAGGGTGCTTTCTCATAATATTCAACTTTAAAATAATGTTTGAGGACTACCCCACTATTGAATGGATCCTGATAGTGTTATGTTGACCACCTTGATCAGCATTAACATGCAATGTTTTAGTACTTCAGCTCTATTGTCTGGGCATCTGTGATGCTTCTGGTGTAGACATGGAGCAACAATATAGGTCTATATTGTAGCGCCATGTCTAAATTCACCCAGTTTAATGCCATCAAACTTACCAAACCTATCTATTTGTTTTAGATTTAATATTAGTTTCTTAGCCATATATCTGTCATGTTGATGCTGTTTTGAAGCCAGTGGCCCATTTCTTCCTTCAAATGTTTTTTTCATATATATTTTTTATGTAAGGCTCCATCCCACGATCACGGGCGTCCCCTTTCCAACTCCTCCAAGAGCCTGGCAGCAGTAGTGGCTCGGCTGGAGAGGAACGCAGCCAACTCCTGCATGGAGGGTGAAGAGGACCTGGACGAGGATCGGCTGGCCGAGGAGGGAGAGGATGCAGACGACGAAGATGAGGATGCGGAGGCCGAGCCCCGGCAGCATCACCACCACCAGCAGCAGCCGCAGCAGCATTTGTTGGTGGACACGGATTGTGTGCCGGAGGTGGCTGCTGCCGTGGTTCCCCGGGTCCTGTACGAGGAGCTGGTTCACAGCTACAGACAGCAGGAGGAGGAGATGAGGAGGCTTCAGCAGGAGTTGGAGAGAACCCGCCGGCAGCTGGTACAGCAGGCCAAGAAGCTCAAGGAATATGGCAGCCTGCTGACAGAGGTGAAAGAACTGCGGGACTTCAACAGGAGGCTGCAGGACGTGCTTCTGATGAGACTGGGCAGTGGTGAGCCACCAGGAGCCTGAACACTAACACACAAAGCATTCCTATGCCTCAAAGCTGAGTTTAGAACCTCCAACCGCATAGATTAGAAAAATTATTGACATTTAAATGGAGAGTTTGTATTGAGGTTTAAAACATGCTTGGTTGCAGATCTCAACATCAAAAGCAAACGGCCGTTTTGCTTTGATTTTCACGCTAAATCTTTTTATCTGTGTGTGCTGACCAGTCAGTATCATATGATTTGTTCAAAGACCACCGTTAGTCTGCGGTTTTGAAGATATGTTTCATAGTTATATAAAATAAAATAGAAACGTAAAGAAGAGATGCACACATATTGGTTTTTTATAGGAAAAAAGGAAGAAAACTACATATGTGTGGCTCTCAGTACTGGTACTGTTAAAACGATTGATAAGAGTGAAGATGATGTTGGAGACTTGTAGTCCATATAAACTGATCATACAAAAGCTTTAGTCAAATATGGCTGTTCAAAAATTGGTTGGGAGGAACTCACAGATTTGGGTTGACTAGAACATTTTAATTCCAAAATCTGTTCCTCTCAGTCACAGGATGCGATGAACCTTTCACTAAGACTAACAGCAACTTCTCAAATGTAAACAGTTTACATGCACACAGAATCACAAACAACTTTCCAATGTTCTGACAGTCTTTAGGATTCCAGAGGGTGCCAAACACAATGTTGTTCCCTAGTGAACCAACATTACAAGTTGCAGAGAATGTTGAAACTAATGTTCCATTGTGGGGAAAAAGAAAGCTTTGTCATCTTTTTCAGGCCATTTTATCATCACGCTCCAGACTTAAGTTTTTTTCCTGTACTTTAAAAGCATCATAACAAGAAATTAAAGTAACTTAAATTGACCTTAAGGAAAAGCGTTAATTGATAAATGCTTCGATACTAAAAAACAATCCATCTAATTTTCAACATCCCCCTTCTAGAGTAAAAAGTAGTTTAAACTGTTGTTTAAGCATTGAAACCTATCCCTATAAAGGGACCCTTCTGCATCTGGATGCTGTTTCTGCTTCCAGAGTGGTCACCAGTAGGATGGCAGACAGGATTTAGCTGATTGCTGGTTGAAGCAGACTGGCTGCTGTCGTTGTGTGTTACAGAATGAGCTTTTTGAAAGTGACCCAATTTTTTCAGAACTCTTCAACAGTTTGGTAATGGAGTCGTTTTCCTATAAAGTGCAACACACTTATACAGAACAGCCTCATATGATACACATCCAAGTGTTCCATAAGGACACCGCAGCACTCCTCTGCAGCCCACTCTCAATAAGAGGCACACGTCTCCCACTCTGCACTGTTTGGGATGTGGTTAAAAAGCAGGCATAGGTGGAATATGTTATGTAATAGAGAAGATTATCCAGCTCAAGGATTTTGATTGGTCCATTTCTAAACTAGTAAATCCAACACAGGGAGTTGAATAGAATACACTAGTTGTGTGATTAAAAGTAGTGTCATAGCATTGCACAGCAGTGTACGATGTGAAGCCTTGCCAGATGCTGGCGTTAACCTCGGGAGCCCATGTAGGTCCAAACAGAGGAGGCTGGCTGCTGGCTAGACCATCTAATGGACAGGCTAAAGATTAGCACACCCCGGGAATATGTCAGTCAGGGAGGAGGGACGGCGTTGACTGATATGAAAACTCATCAGCAGCATTGGAGCTTAGTGTGGCCAGCCATCAAGCCGGCTTAGTTACTGGGCTAAAATAACTGCCTGTTGCAGGCCATGGGGAAGCCCAGGCCACAGGCAAGGAAGAAACAAAGTAGGAGGCGGGCGTTGTTCAAGTGGTGAAAACTAAAAAAACAAGACAGTGGAAAAAAAACATGTGGAGATTTGAATTCTGCAACCAAGCAAAAACCTGGTGGGTGACTTTACTAAAGATGGAGTTGTCATTGCTATGCAAAGTCAAATGCCCCTTTGTCTCCTAGAGCCTATGCATGACAATGGCACTCAGACAATCAAGGCCGAAGTGGTTGAACCTATTGTTGAGGCCCAGGAGGCATGCAGAGAAGAAGCCAACACCAGTTCCAGCTATTCCCCGTCCCCCCGCACAGTCTACACCTGCAACGATGGCAAGGTGAGTGGGTTCCACAGCAGTCCTGCTGGATGGGGACTCTCCCTGCTGACCCCACGTTTACCCAGTCCTTCTCACGCTTATGGGTGATATTTTTCAGTTTCCATAGCTGTTGTGTTCTTTAAATGTCCTTTTTTTTTTAAAGCACGAGCATCAAAAGGTTTAGAAAATGTCAGGGTGGTGTAGTGCCTCAGAAGTGGATTTCCTGAACTTAAACGCTGTCACACGCCTGATATTTTCTGATGCATTCCCTTATAATAATTTATGTTATGTATCTTGTTTTCATATCTCATCTGACCTTCAATTTAAATGTGGAAACAGAAAGGACTGTAGTCATAGGTGACCCGACAAACCCCCGAACAGCCGCCACTTTTCACTCGTGCTTCCTGGCTGTCGGCTTTTGTATAGTGAAAGTAGGTTGATTTAGTAGGAAATATTCTATTAGTACCCATAAACCCGGGAACATGCTGTCATACTTGATCACCCCTTTCCCCTTTGCTGCCCTGCCCTAGCAGGTAAACAAGGTTGAGAAGATTATTATTGTTCTTGCGAGCCTGGCCAGCATCATCAGTGCTTATTAGCCCGTTAGGGTTCTTTACTCACCCCAGCACTGTAACTCAACCAGCGTCCTGTCTCTCATGACAGGGGGGGAATTGGTTCTACAAGCTGTGGGGCCTGCAGCCACTTCAAGCGTGAAGAACACTTGCAAATTAGAACTACATCAGGGACCCCATATTAATTATTTGCACGAGAGGAATTCGCAGTGACTGACAGGTTAGCCCTACCGAGAGTGCAAAGGGAGGTTAGAAAAGAAGGATGGGAGACGGCGAGAAAGAGATAAACGAGGCCAAAGGGCTGGGAGGATGAAAACAATCCTGTCTAACTAGAGGACTGTAAAAAGCTCGTCTGCTGGCTCGCATCCTAAAGCACATTAGCTGCACAGGGAAAAGCTTTTTGGATGCCTGCCTAAAGACTTAACGGTAATAGGAGAATAGAGAAGGGAAAGAGTGTCACACATGCCCCTGGTTGCATTAGCTCACCTGGAGTTCCAGGGCCGGCTGCCTGGGCTGCCAATCAGGGGGCAGCGTTTGGCCGCTCCTTATGCAATGTGCGCTGACATGGTATGGAGCACCACAGGTTAAGTTCATAAAGAGGCTAATCCAAAATCAACCGGCCAGTGACCTGAGCTGATTTACGTCTCCCAGTTTCTGTTGGAAGAAACTAGCTGGTCTAACTTATAGGCCAAATTGCATTTTATTTATTTTTTTTAGTAAAGTTTCTCTTTAACCGAGCATTAAAAGCCTACTTAATTTTGAGTGTTAATGTTCTGGCGCTTTGTTCATGTGATAACAAATAAAACTGTGGATTTTTTTTTGGTAAGTAATCATATTTTTTATGGTTAATTAATAAAATTTAGCTTAGGTCTTCCAAAAGGCCGAAGGGTTTATCGAGCCTAAAATAATAGAATGAAATAATAAAATTAACGTAATTACTCTACTTTGTGGGGGTTTTTTGGACTATCACTGAGGGTTTTGGAACTTAATCCTGGTTAATTGTGTTTACGTGCTACAGACAGCAGAAAACACAAAGAAATTAACCACATCCTGTCCTGGTTCCAACATCTTTAATGTTCTGAGAGTCAGTCACTGCAGACTATAAGTCGTGTCTTTTGTGTTTCTCCTTTCACGCCTTTGATCTGCGGTTGCAGGTGCATCTTGGTGGTGGGATTTGGGTGGAAGAAGAGAAGTGGCACCAGCTTCAGCGGACCCAAGGAGACTCCAAGTTCACAAAAAACCTCGCCGTGATGATCTGGGGCACCGAAACCCTCAAAAATCGTAGCGTCACAGGAGTTGCGACTAAAAAGAAGAAAGACGCTCTGCCCAAACCTCCACTGTCCCCAAGCAAGCTCAAAATAGTCAGAGGTAAGCAACCTTTTAAAGGAGTTATACTGAGATGTAAGCTAACCAGTTGTCTCTTCTCCTCAATGGAAATCAGAATAAAACCATTAAGAATTCTTCCCGTAGACATCAGAGGTAGGATGAGCGCTTTTTGATTGAATGTAATCTGACGACTCGCTCGCTCCTTCTCCAGAGTGTCTGTACGACAGAGTGTCTCAGGAGACGGCCGACAGCGCAGAGATCACGCAGAGATTGTCCAAAGTGAACAAATACATTTGTGAAAAGATAATGGACATCAACAAGTCCATCAAGAATGAGGAGCGGCGGGAGTCCAAGCTGCTCATCAGACAGACAGTCAAGATGGAAAACTTCACCTACGATGGCATGTAGAGATCAGCGCCTTCTGCCCGCGCCGTCAGCAGGATGTGGGGGGGACTGGGGGGGGGCAGCTGAGCAAGGCCCTCACTGTTTCAGAGCTGTCATATTTCTTTGATATTTAGGATTGGTCATTCTGTGACATGTCCCAGCACGCCGGTTCCTCCTCCCCCTCTCATTTGAAATAAGCTTCACACTTGTCCGATATCTGATTGGCTGACAGACAGCTTTACCCACCAGTTCGAAACTGAACCAGTGAGAGAGTTCGATATGAGCTGGAGTGAGTGGTTTTATAAGCTTTAGCGTCGGTACAGAGATGTGTTTTATTGAGACGTGTGCATATGTGTCAAAACGTGAAATTAGATATGATTGTTCATTTATTGTTCTGTGTCAGAACACCATTTTTAAGTCCTTGAACTTTTAAAAAGTAAGAGGTTATTTCCGTAGGCAAAGTCTTTTGATGCTGTAAAGATGATGATGCTAGCTTACATTAGGTCTCAGACATGTGAGCGTTTGACTGTTGATTTGCTGACTGTCCAGTGAGCGCTGGAGGTTCGAGTGCTGGTACTTAGCTGCATAGGATGGGACGTCAGGGTCTCAAGTGCACAAGTCTTAATTGGCGAGCGCCATATTTAATTTTGCAACAGAGAGTTGCAGATGTAGCTCCAAGAGATTCATTTGAAAAGTGCGCTAACCCATAACTTTATTCAAAAAAGGCTTTAAGAGATTTATGGGAAAGTCCAGCTCCTGGGTCGAGTTAAAAAAAATGCTGTATTTGCTCCTTTTTGTACCTTCTTAGTTATACACATTAGCCATCAATGTATGAGCACAAGAGAGGTTCTGATAGGGATATGTGTGTGTTACTCGGGAAACATGTCAGAAAAAGCTGGACTGTTGAGTTTTTAGTGGTACCGGCATGTGGATGCCTAGAAAGGCCTTAAATGGATTTTGCAATCACCAGGGACCGGTTAGCCCCTGGGTTTTCTAGTAAGCTGTGATTGTAAACGTATCGTAAGCTGATGTGACGAAGCTTCACCTGCACTTTGCTGTGAGAATGTAAGAGGTGGCCCAGGACTATTTTCTGTATAGTTTGCGCCACAGGGTTGCGCTGAGCCCGGCTGCTGCCCGGGAGTGGACCGGGGTCCAGGTCCTCCTGGTGTGGAGGCAGTGCCAGCTGTGGGTAAAGCTGTCTGCGGCAGCATTTTTCTGTTGAGTTCGTCTGGCCCTGCTGAACCCCATAATGATCCCCCGTTGCTTCAAATCACACGACTGGGGAAGGAAGGAAGGAAGGCTGCTCCAGTGACAATTTCCTCCGAGCTATGCCATCTTAACTTTTAAAATGTCCTTTTTTTTCTTATATATTTTTTTCTCCTTTTATATTGTTTTGATTCAAAATGGTTTATGTGGCTGTCTGTGGTCTGGAACTAAAATGCTGCAGATTGAAATCTCAACTGTGACCCAGCTGTGGCTAACTGTGAATCTGCTGCAGAGCTGCCCATCAAGCCTTTTCTCCTCTTCACACTTCAGATTCCTGCTCGTCTACTTTGGTATATTTTTGTCACTTTGTCCATCTCTTTCTCTGTTGTTTCAAAGGTTCAGACAAGCCTTTTGTTAAGCTATTTTAGAGATATTCTAGTGTACATAAGCACATCTTTTTATTTTTGTCACCAACATGGGTATTTTTTTCTGTTTTTATTCATCGTAAAGTTTCAGCGTTCTGATCAACTTTTGGTTTTAGCTCATCAATGTTGTAATTCTGTTTTAACTGTTAATTCTTGGTGTTTCTCGTCAGAATATAATTTTTGTTTTTTTCATTTGAAAGGTTGGCTTTAAGCTTGGTGTTGTTTCCAAATGTTGATCAGCAGAGTCCACAAACACCACGTTCATAGCCAAAGTAATCTCAGCGGAAGGAGAGAGATAAGGATTTCCTTAAAAACTCATTCAAACGGACAACTTGTGACATCTTGAAAACCTTGCTTTGGATATTCCTAAAATCTGCCGCAGTACGATCAAAATACAGTCAAACCATTGCGCTCAACAGTTAAGATGCAGTAACGATCAACACAAGTCATTTACATTGAAAGCACTTTAAACTTCTCAGCAATTCTTCAATCTTAAGAAAACTGTTTTTGTGATATTTGTCTTTTTTCCAATGTCTTTATAGATTAAGGCCTAACAGTTATTGTATTATCAAGCACCTTAGAATATGTTTTGCTTTGGGGGTTTTCTTTATTTTGAGCAGAAAAGAGTCATGGGATAAAGTTTCTGTTTTGCTCCATTGGAGGTCCCCCCGCCATGCTAATGTTTCACAAAAAAGCTGAATACATTTGATATTTAATATCACAATGTAAAGGATTTTTTTTCTTGGGTAGTTAAAAACCAAAATTTCATGAGTGACTTCAACCACCGGAAACCAATACTTGGCAGATTTACAAAAATCAACAATGCTTTACGGGAAAAGGTTTCCCACGAGTTTAAGAACTTCATCAGTGGAATGTATAAGCTGACTGGAATTTTTTGCTTTAACTTAGTCGGGCCAAATGCCATCAATGTATACCTATTGTCTATAAGAAGTATAGAATGAAAAGGTAAAGCTACAGAACAGAAAGGCCGGTTAATACTGAATCGTCAGGAGGGGTTTGCTTTAAAAAAAGTATGTCCACACCAAGATAACGGAGCCCAGAAAAATCCATCACATTAGTGTTGCCATTCTTTTCCATCGTCAATTTAGCTTTTAATTTTTTTTTATTTCCTTGTACAAAGTAACCTGAGATTCCTGTGCGGGGTGGTGTATTAAAAATACATGCAATTTTTAAAAAAGAAAAAAAAACAAAGACATTTCTGCTGTGCAAACCAACCTCGCTGAAGTTCCGACCCGTCGTCGTGTATTGTGTTTGTGTTTGCTTCTTTGTTCGATGCCAAAGGGGTGTGCGGTTAAAACGATGCGAAACGAACGAGCATCTCTAGAGCTATTACATCATCAGAAATGTAAAATTGTTTTAAAAGGATGGTTTCCTGGAGCAAGATTAAGCCTAATCCCCTAACTAAAACCATCTTTGGTGGATAAAAGCTGTAAGAAAGTGCTGTACGTTTTTAACCCCCGCTTTAGCGTAATCTGTGATGGCAAGGCCAATCTCTTTTAAATGTACCAAGTCACTTGCAGAGGAACAGTGTGGGATTTAGCAGCATATTAGTAACTTGTATATTACACAACCTGACATGGTCATTAAAGGATATTGTAACCTAGTTTGGCTGTGCAACACAACACCAGAGCAGGACTGTTACTACTGCTCTGGTCCAGTAGCTTTGGGCAGAAAGCAAGCTCTTCCTGTGCCACCTCTTGTTCCTTAACCATCCTGACATTAGTACCAACTGGATTGAAAAACGCACATGCATCAAGATAATAGTCCCCTTCGCTCTGTGTTGTTGGCTTGTGTTTTGAACATCTTTCAAAGCCTTAGAGGTGAGGATTCTTTTTTTTTTTTTTTTCGACAGCTTCATCAGGTGAACAGATTTTATGTTCAATGGTTCGTCTGGGAGTTTGCGATGCTACGTGTAACCCGACACGTTGCTGTTTCAGATACAGTATCAAACAGGAGGAACAGATTCCTAGGCCTATATTTTTATTAGATGTATCAGTACTTTGTATACAATCCACAAACCGGTTCTACTTCATCCAACTTCACCGTCCTACCTCATTGTTACTCTGGTGTTTGTCAGTGACTGTAAACTTGTGTGTATATTAAAAAAAGAAAATTCTATAGGAAAAAAGGTATTCCTTGTTAATCTTAACATGTTCAGCATATAAAACTTGTAAAACACCTCAATACACAAATATCATTCTTAGGAGAAATCTGTTCTTACTGGCTTAAAGATGCTGCTGTAAAGGGATTTCTGTGTGAGGGGACGTTCTGAATATATATCTTTGCTCTTTGCTATGTTGTGCAGTTGATCAGTGGCTGTGTTCTGTTTCTGTAATGCATTCTGAGATTTTTACTGGTTGACGGTGCTACCAGCAAACAGTTCAAAAAGCTGATCTATCGGACCTCAAATGGTGCTGTTTTTCTATGTTTTTATTGTCATACAGCTGTGTTTTATTCAGGTGTATCAGCCGCCACTATCCCCTCAGCTTAACAGATTCTAAGCCAAACTATTTCGTAAGGCCAATACCCTGCTATTACTGTATCAACTATATGCTATCCATCCAAATATTGTAGATAGTGATTATATGCTCAGCCGTGAGTTTCAGAAGTACCTCAGAAGTTGCTGGCTTTCAGTGGATGCATCTGCTTCTAGCACCTGTTGTCTATCTATCTTACATTCTGCAGTTTATTTCCATAAATATGCATTTCTTATTGTTATATTGAAAAAAAAAGGTTAGATTTCCATGACATGATTATTATCTCACACGCAGGTGACCGTTCAATCCAAATGTTGCCACCGTTCACTTTTTGCATGCCAGTGCATCATATGGAACGTGATTCAGACTGGCCAGTGTGCGTTCCAGTGGAAGAGGTCCTTAGCAAATCCACTTTCTGTTTGAGTCACACTTCTCTTATTCCACAAATGATGGGCTGCAATCCTCGTTTAAAGTGAAAACGATACCGTATAATTAAAAGAACAAGAGAACTTGTCAAAAAATGGAGATCAGCTGGAAGAGTTGTTTGGATGTGTTTTCTTTTTATTGCGATCCTGATTTTCCAGTTGTGTCTCTGTCCCTCAGTGTGAGAGAGGATTCAAAATGACCTTTATTCTCAACCGCTATCTAATTAAGTGCATTACATTTTCAGTTCGTTGACGCCATCGGAATATGTTCTGCTCAAGATGTCTTTTCTTTCAAAACACGCATGCATGTTTCGTTTTCGTTTCCTTTGCCCAGACCGAGTTTGTGACTAGGAAATATGCTGGCACCTCTCTACTGTGAGTAGTTTGTGTTCTGATACACAGGAGCAGTTGGTTCCATGTAAGCACTTAAGCCATTCATTGGACTGTTTATAAAACGGTTCAGCTTCGAGCTTCGATCTGGTTCAGGGACTTGACCCAGAGAGGCTGTGTGTTGTGTAATTCCTATGCAGGTGTTGAGTTCTTAACCTGGTACCACATCACTGTTGGTGGAGGGCCAACCACTGAGACAGATGGCAGGAGAGGGCTGAAAGTGTTGAGACGGAGTCAAATGGCGATATGACAAATCCCTATAGAACTATTATTACATTTTGAACTCTGAGTTGAATTAAATTGATCTATACAGGGCTGCTTGGTATACCAATGTGTAGTTAGAAACGCTTTGCAGTTGTCTTTAGGGAACGACAGGGTTTTTACTGTATGGAGTTTTTCCAGTCGGTGTGATAATGTGAAAAGAATTCAAGACAGTAAACACTCCCTCACCCCTACTGTAGCCTCCCCGAGGCAACTCTACCTTACAGAAAAAGTTAGAATTCTGTGCGATTGAGAGTGTACATGTCTTTGCTAAACCAGCCACACCTCTGCTATGCGAGCAACTCTTTGACGCTTAGCATCCTGTTCTGTGTTTTTCTCTTGCTGCATTCAGGAACACCTGTTTAATGTATAGACAACAGAAATAAATCAAGACTTTTATTCTATCAGCAAAACGCTTGTTTTTTCTGTGTGTCATTTACCGCCTCGCAGTCTTTTGTTAAAGATGCAACAGATGACGCTACCGCAAGCTCAGATAAGACCTCACTGAAAACATTTCCTGTTTGTTTTACTGCTGTCGGTTCTTGCATGTTCAGTTAAAGCCATGATCGCTCCGTCCTGAGCCCCGCAAAACAAAATGAGGCCGATTACTCTTTGACTCTGTTGTTGCCGATTCGTGTGAGCAACAAAAAGAAAGTCAAAGGCCAGTAGCAACAATTTGAATTTCTGAAAGTAACATTGACAAATCCGCATACGTGTGCCCTGTTCCCCTCTGGCCAATCTTTAATGCTTACAGGAGGTAAGAAAGAAGTAACTTCTCTTTAACAGATTGAATTTTCTGCTCCATCTGCATGCTTGACAACTGGGTTAAATCTGGCCAATAACTCAGGCCTGAACTTCTTATTTTTTTACTCAGAAATACCACTTAACCAGGGTCCAAAGAGTATATACTGTTGATGGTTATTAATGGTTAATATGTGTTGAATGGGTTTCATAAAACCTCTGTGACCTCTAAGCTAATGCCAGATTCTGAGCCATAGCAACCCAGCAAAGGTTCAGATTTAAATGCAGAAAGTGTTATTTGACTTTTCATACAGTAGCAGGATTAACACAGTGTGTCAGGTGAGTCTTAGGTAAGACAAATGTTTAGGCAGACAGATATCCGGCTCAGATGAGCTGCTATTTTAATTTCTATATATATATATAAAAGCACATTTAGTTTTTGATAATTATGTGTTTGCATGAAGGTGAGAGATGATTGAGATAAGTGTCAGCAGCTATCTGAGTCTGGGCCTCTCTGAGCCGCCCAGCATGCCGGTCACTGGCAGCACTGTATCTAACGTGTTGCATGTCCAGATCGCATTGCGAAAGAAGCTGATCCGCTTGGGAGCAAGATAAGGCAGAAAACAGGGTGTTGACATATCAGATTGCTTTCAACATGACTTGTTTGCTGAAGCTCGAATTTAAAACGAGCCTCGTCATTGATTTCAGGATTTGGACGAGTCCACGCCGCAAACTAATGAGGAAGTGGTCACTGAAGGCCATTTCCAGCATCTTTCACTCTGAACGGGCCGAGCTCCGTGCGCTCCTTCCCCCCCGCCCTCATGGCGCACGCTGATCCATTTCCATATATTATTGCCTCGGTAAGCAAGAGTGTCACGCGCCCGGGCTTTTCCTACCGCCCAAGGGGGACTTCTCAATGTCATTATCGCTAAAGCCTGCCACATGTCTGTAATGCATTGCCGCCTGCCTTTATTGACAGCGTGATGATTCAGTGGTGGAATGATGGATTGGTGCCGGGCCGGGCCGGGCCGAGCCGGTCCAGACTGGGCTGGGCTCTGCAGCCCGGCTGTCTGTCGCATAAACACGGTGTCCGCCTCACACACTGCGGTAGAGAAGGTGTTGCATCCAAGTCACACACCTATCAAGTTATAAATGTGCTAATTTCAGGGCTTTTATGGGCCCTCCCGGAACACTCTGAATTATCGCGTTCACCTTTTGAATCTCATGCGGTCAGAGCTCCGGGCACCCGGAACTGTTACTTTATACGGTGTTGTTTCTTTTGGGAACGGTAATGTGTAACTGTTCATGTGTTGTGAAGTGGAGGTCCTGAGGTTTAAAGCTTTTCTTTGTCTCCCCACTAGGCTGCCGATGCTCACTCTATCAGTGATCTGGCTCCAGTTTAGTTTCAAGGAGGAGATTGGACATTAGTCTTAGTTCCTCCCTGCTTGCAGCACTGAGTGACCACAACTGCTGCTCTTAATCTTTGCTGCTTCAAAAGAGAAACTTAGAAAGTATCTTTTCTGCTACAGCATGCGTTTGCTCTTTCAGGGTATGATCCTGTAACAGTGATACATCGAATCCATTATGCAAATCAGCCTTATCATGATTGTATGGACCTGCCTTTCATCTGGAGAACTTTGGTTTCTTCTTCACTAGTCCATCTCTGACTTCTTCCGCAGTTTCTTATCCACACTGCTTATTGCTAGTAGCGTGGTTGAGGAGCTGGAGCCAATCCCAGCTAGCCCTGGGTGAGGGACGGGCAGACCCTGGACAGGTCGAAGGTCCATCACAGAGTGCTTTTGATTCAAGTCAAACAAATGAACATAGACTTGCAGCGTTTCCCCTCTAAGGGCGTTTCTCCTCATGGAAAACAACTGGCAAAGTCAGAAAACGAGAGCCTGGAGATGAGATGGAGGGCTTTTTCTTTTTGGTTTCGTCTCTTAAAGATTTTTCCGTGATTTAGCATTTACGGCATCAGCAGGAAAATGTGAGAACACAGTTTCCATGTTCCCCTCACAGCAGCAGTAACAGGCTGCAGCTTTCAGAATTTGCTGTTGGTCTTCACCACACACTCCCCTCCTTACCCCGGTCCAGGTGCCCGCCTTAATGCAATGTCACTTAACTGCAGGATAAGATATGCTGCTAAGTCTTGATTAGAGCCCTGAAACTTCTCCCCGCTGCCTGCCATATTCAGGGCCCTTATCGTTCTTAAGCGGCTTATTCCGCTGCTTTGATAAAAACTGGCAAATGTTGGAGTCCATGAGCCCTTTTAGAGAGTAAGTGCATTACTGTTTCATTCCACGCACACGTCCACAGACCCCCGGTATGTTAGGGCCGGTAATGCCGATGGACCCCCCCCCCATTTAACACAATCCAAAGTGATGATGTTTCACTCTCTAAACATTTCAGCTAATTACGGCCCAAATGAAGCAAGTTCCCGTGAATCGCCACGTCAGGCGCTGCCAATGTCACTGTCACAGTGCCCCCCCACAGCCCCCTAATGGCCGCGCTGCTCAGTATTCACCCCCACCGCTCTATGTCACCTCACCCCTTCCTGACTCACCTCCTCTCCTCCGCCATCCCCACTTTCCCCTTCTTTTGCTCCCTTCTTCTCTGTGGCCTTCCCCCCTGTCCTCCTCACCCCCTCCCCCCTCTGGGCGCCCATCTCATCGTAGAGATGTTGTTTAAAATGGAAATCAACTAATTACGCTAATAGCATTTTAATGATTATTTAATATAGAAAATAAAGCTTGTTACAAGCTAAGCAATTTATTTGGATTTCAAGGGCAATCAATCTGTGTCCGATACAATCTGCTCTCCTCCTTGATGATTGCCGTTTGTTTTCACTCATGCAAGTACACAACATTAATGTCAACATTTAAAGACAGTAACAGGGACTCGACAGAAGAACTTCAACCTCTGCCTCCAAATGCGTCTCATAGTTGTGCTAAAGGGCCAGTAGTAGTGTGACGTGAGTCACTGTATGTCAGAATCACACACTTAGCTTTCAAAAGAATGTGCTACAGGATCACCAGTGCTTGTTGGTTTTCTCTGCATGAAATAGCACCACGAAATAACACCATTGCAATAGAAATACATATCATTCTGAACCCTGAATTTCACAAAAAGACGGAACAAACATTAAATACAGTACCATTCAAAAAGTAGATCTTTTTTGGGATCATCCAGTCATTTGAAATGCATAAAGAAGTGAGTCCAGACTTTTGATTTTAGATATTTACGGTTTCAATACTGAATTCAGGATGTGTGCAGCATAACTTGCAAGATATCAGTAACAGCTGGGATGAAGAATCAAAAACTGACAATGAATTGGTTTTGTTTTAAAAGGACATATTAGCAAGTGGTGGAGGTTATAACTTACATACACAGTGGACACACTACTGTTTTAAGGCCTTGTATTTTCCATTAGCCATGACACAGAGAACTAAAGTAAATATCTGAGAAACTGTATATCAAAATATTTCATTCTTTTTTTTATAAAAATCGACCAGTGCTTCGTTTGAAGCTTCGTTTTTCCTAACTCTGCAGAAAAGATCCCACAACAAAAGAGCTACTTAAATCTTGCTTTTGCTTACCGACGGCAACAAAAATATTCCTATAGTTCATGATGTGTGGTCGGAAATTGAAACCAAAGTTGTAAACTGTGGTATCTTAGCCTCCAGGCTCACGGCATTAGCCAACTGGAAAAAGCCTGGCATGTTCTCACTCACGTAGATGTTGCTTTTATTCATACACAAAACTCCCTGATGGCTGCACCTTTAGCAAGATAGAAAATGCAGCCTTCTATACGATACAATAGCTTTTTGAAACAAGAGCCAAAGATGTAGATCTGGCCTCCCAGCATCCCAGATATGAATCCACATGGAGATCCTTGATGTGCCAAGATGGCCCTAAAAACAGTTTGAGTGCCGACAAGGACTCTCCAGAAGTCCTCTGCTGATTGCCTCAGTGGGTCCTGATTGGGTTGTTGTTGTTTCATATCATGACCCTCACAAACCTACCATTGTTGTTTTAGGCTAGCTTCACTTTGGGAGTTAAGAAGAGATTGCGGTACATTTGCCTTGTAATCAAAGATGAATATTGCCCTTTGCAATTAGACTGTGCTGCACATGTTTAGAAACCCCAGACCCAACCACCACCTTGAGAAAAGAAGACAAAGAGTGCCATGAGAATTCTAAACAGTTTAATTTATCTTTTTATGTCCTACTGGTGGTCATTTACCCACCCTGTCTATTTAAATGGAAATGTGAAGCCAGCTAAACAGGCATGGTGAATCAGCCCAAACAGAAAATAAGTATCTGGGAGTTTATCCGGGTCTGACCACCTGTCAAATTGAGCAACAGGATAACTTCAGTGTTGGATGGTAATTGATTAAGTGTGGTAAATTACACCACTTCCATCAAACCCCGGCAGGACCAGTACGTGCATGCTAACTGAAATGAATGTGCAAAGGCGTATATCTCCTCATGCAGACAGGCTGACTGACAGAGTGACATACAGTGAATGCTCAGATTTATACTTTAATAAATGAGAATGCAGTTTTGGTTATGTGCATATGAGAAATAGCATCTACCTTCTATATAATTCATCGCTGTGTTAAGTAGAAATCTGCTTATATATATTCAAGCTGTAAGTTCAGAACTGACTT